AAGATGCTTCAACTCTTGTAGCTAAAAAGGCTTTTATTCTCTGGCTGTGGGGTACATAAGCTTTTTAGTTAATAGTACCAGTATATTGAATCTCTGCAGATATATCCACTTTGCACAGTCATAGGGTTGATTAACTCAAAGATCCAAGTCACTTCGACTTTTAGGTTGCTCCAGTGAAAATCACAATAATACTCTGGTTTATTTCATGTTAATTACACATCAAAAACTTCAGAATTGAAGAAGATTCTTGAATTCTGTATGCCTGGAACAAATTAAAAATTTACTATAATTTTCAAAATCAAACTGTTTTTCTGTTATTACTTCAAATAAGAAAATACAACACGATTTTACTTCAGAAAGACGCTAAAGTATTGTAGCAAACATTTTCATGAAATCAAATAGCATATAATCAGGAAGAGAAAATTATAATTTACGGTTTGCACACTCACCATTCTTTCTTCCTAATCCTTGCCAGAAACTCTTCTTAGAGCTATATGAGTAGGTGCCATTTTTACTTGATTTCTGATCTCTCTGCAAACTTGAACATGATGTGCCTTCTGATTGTCAATCAACATTCTTGAAATAATTCTTACACCTTTTAGCCCTACTTGAAACGACTTTATCAAGAAAATGTTCTGATGTGGGCCATAGTGCTGTCCCTAATAGCTTCCTAAAGCCAGCTCTGTCACCAAAGGTTTTCTGAAGTAACCCATGAATTTCTGCAGCCATCTTGTTGGCCTTAAAGCAGAATGTGGTGAAGGTTCCTTTATCCATGAATTCCACTATTGCAAAACTAATGAACCATCAAAATAAGACATTACAAAAATAAACCTAACTCAACATGTACACTTACATATATGGCAAGCAGTCTGGAAGACTAGGCACCCTATTTCAGATTGTTTTGTAATCTTTTTATATAGTTTTTGGTTTCCTCACTTTAAAATCTTGAGGCCAGATAACTTCCTGTCCATTTTTACAGCCAAACTTGCAGTTGGAGGGTTATAAGGTGGGGTGGTACTTATTCCCTATAGTAAAGGTTATTATCAACTGGAATATCTAATTATTCCTGTCAACACAATAGTCCCCCAAATAATTTCAAGCTACAAGTGTACATGGAAAGGGGGGAGAGGTATGGTAATGCTGAAACACATAGAACATTTGCTCCCATACATGATCACCCTATAATAATATCACAATTTATTATTTTGCAATCATTGTGATAAATCAAGCGAGTTCTAGGTCATGGAAAAGTGACTAGATTATTAAATGTTAAGGAAGGCCTTTGGAAAATTTTCCATTGATGCCAACATGGCTTGCACATACATCCACATACATTGTGATTTTAGTTTATCAATTTTGTGTACACAAGAATAGTCACCAAGGACTCCACTCCTAGTCCTATTATCTTAGCCATTTAACCTTGTCTGATTTTTCAGAAAGTGTTAGATTTCATCTTTATTAGTATTAATGCTGTTAATAGCATTAGAATAATCATAATCATAATCATAATCATAATCATAATAATAATAATAATAATAATAATAATAATAATAATAATAATAATGATGATAATGATACTGACAGCACTGATGATAATCATAATAGTCAAAATTATAATAAATTATCATAATAGTAATATCAATATCAATAATGAAGAGGATGATAATGATGATAGTAATAATAATAATAATAATCATTATTATCATCACCATCATTATCATTAAGGACTTGCAGGACCATGTATGTGTAAACAAAATTTAAAAAACAAAGCTACAGTTGATAGTACATGGTACCTGAACCTGACAGCAAATGCATAACAAAGGCGCTATGACTCAGAAAAACAAAAACAAAAGGACTATCAAATTCTTTAGTTAACTGCAAAACTACAAAACATATTAGTATGTATCAATGTATTACAGCTATTTCATTCTATTCTTAAGCTACTTTATTTTGGTATAAAATAACATCACCCATGACAAATAAATGAAAAAAATATATATTATATATACAATGCTCCACAGAAGTGATTTTAAAGATTAAGATTTAGTTTTAATTCCATTTGTTACAATGGATATTCTTTGCTGTGACATATTGTCTGTTTTATTATGCTTCCAAATCTTCCCCTGTGTGCAAGGAATGGCCCGGGTTACCATTCACTGGCCAGGCATGGGATTGAATGCAGGTCTGCAAGATTGCTAGTCCAACAAGCTACCCGCTGCATCAGCACACCACTCAGCAAGTGACTAGAGTCCAATCTGAATACCAGATTATAACACAAACAACTGACTTTGTGGATGATGTAACACATAAACTTCTATATTCTTTTCACTCATGAGACTTCTTTTCCAACTTTGGACAATTTTTCATGTAACAGAAGAAGCAAAGACACTGATTCCACTGAGACAAAATATTGTATACAGTAGATTCTCCACTACTTTCTAACAGAAGTGGGCATCATGGCCAAATTTTCTTTCTATCAAACGCATGACTAATACATAGAACGTATTCGTAAAACTTCCCACTTTTTAAAATCTCATCTTCCCCCCCCCCAAAAAAAAAAGTAAAACACAAATATCTAGCTGATGATTGTATATTTACAAGTTTATACTCTAATACACCCCTCAGTAAACCATATAGCCTTAAAATGTTTTCAATATATGCCTAAAAAATAAACAGTCTCAACAACTGTTGTGCAAATGGTGAAAGGGACAAATGTGATTTTAAAAAGTATTAATTTGTACATATCTATATCTTCCATAAAACATGAAATGAACACTGCACTTCTAGGATTACTTTTTATGAATATTTCTTCATTTCAAAAGTATTATGACTAGAGGAGAAAAGTGCTTCATTTTACCAGGAAACTTGTATTCCCAACTTTTTTCACTTAAAAATAAGGTTTCCACCAGATAACACAATGCTTTTAGTGTTAGCAATGAGGGATTAATTTGGTATATTTGCTTTCATTCTTCATTTGAATGGGGACAATCTTGTCTAGAATAACGGAGATGGATTTTTGTGTTAAAAGATGGATAGATGTCACGAAGGATAGTTCCTGTCTAAAACGGAAAACCCTGAAGCTGCAAGTTGTCTTTTAGGCAACTACTGAGAAATTTCACTCTGACACCATTCTCTCAGAATAATCATTTGCACCACATCTTTTGTTTTTTTCTTTAATACTTTCTCTCTGTCTCTGTCCCTCTCTTTCTCCCTTCTTTCTCTCTCTCTCTCTCTTCCCCCCTACTCTCTCTCTCTCTCTTTCACACACACACACACACACACACACACACACACACACACACACACACACACACACACACACACACACACACACACACACACACACACACACACACACACACTCACTCACCACTCACTTCACTCACCACTTACTTACTTACTTACTTACTTACTTACTTACTTACTCACTTACTCACTCACTCACTCACTCACTCACTCACTCACTCATTTACTAATTCTGAAATCCTCCTCCAATACAACTAAACCAACCATTTATTCACACAGTCTCTCAGTACCTCTTATGACAGACTGCCTACTCTTCTGATCCTCTAGAAGCTGGTGGTGGGTTGAGGCTTTGATGGGGGGGAGACGCTCCCAGGCCCCGTTTCTTTTGGGCTTCTGGCTCCAATGGGTGAGCTGGTCCACTGGGGGGGATCTGATGGCGCTGGCATCGCCAGAGTTGACACCTTCACTGGCCGCCACTGAGCTTTGCTGGGTGAGGGCGTGAGGTGGTTTGCCCCCCTGCCTGGCGACACCGATTTTGAGCTGAAGGGGGGCACAACAGGAGGGGATAGTTCCATCACAGGAAGCATCAGAAGTAGTTGCTACAGGCCCTGTCACCACTGTCGACGTCTTTGGTATGGTGCTGCTGGTTGACGAGGCTGGTTCCTCACTCACCTTACCTGAAGTTACCCGGCTTTCAACACCGTCATCTGCCTGCAAAGAAAAAGGGTGGAAAATTAGTTGGGATGTTTTGCAGTTAATGAAAGATATGAAAGAGAGACCAAAATATTTTGCAGGTTCCATTATTTGGTAAGAGGATACAATAGCAACACCCCCTACATGCAAATTTCAGTTTAAAAATAAATTCAGTTACTCTATAATAATGGAAACTGCATTTTTTTTCTTTTTTCTTTTTTTTTTGGCCAAGAAACATGAAACAAAAAAAAGAAAGTAGAGAAACTACAAAGTTCAGGAAGTGACAATATTTAGAACTCGGTAACGCAAAGAATTTGGAAAACGGTCAAACAAATCATTTGCGTTTTCAACCAATTATTTTCACTGCTAAGGATCAAATCTCTGCTCAGCAGGGGCGAATCCCGAAGTGTAATGATTAACTCTTTTGCTTAATGCCCTGCTGTTTGGTGATGAAAAAAAAAAAAAAAAAAAAAAAAAAAAAAAAAAAAAAAAAAAAAACTTTTAGTATGCTCTCATATACAAAACATATCATAATACGGCATATAAAATTATTATACAATGCCCCAACAAGTAAAAACTACCTCCTTTACTTCTGGGGTATCAATGTGAAATTTTGTGCGATATCAACAACTTTTTTATGCACAAGAAGGGGATCTGCCCCTGTGTCTAAGACAACAGTCAGGGCATGCATAACACCAAGGGCAGATCTGATGTGCAAGAAGAGAAGGGAGGGGAAAAGAAACAAACAATAATAATAAATAAATAAAAAAGATAAAAAAGAACAGTAATAGGAATAATAAATATAATAATAATAATAGTAATGAAAATAAGAAAAAAAGATCCAAGCCTTGTAAACTATGTAACCAGAAAATAACACATGGCCTCTAATACTAAACACTGCCACCTCTTGTCAGCGTGGAGAGGGCTGGTGTCAAGTCTTCTAGATGCCATCTCGTCTTCTGAGTTGGTTCCGGTGCTTGTCTACTGTCTTGTCTCTATCCTCCATGCCTCTGAGACGGGTCTACAGCTTCTTTGGCAGCGAATTTCAAACCTTGCATCTTGGCTGCCTACCGATGTGGACACTAAAAGTTTGGGGTATGGCCACCTTCTCTTTTTTTTTTTTTTTTTTTTTGCTTTTTTTTTTTTTTTTTGCTTTTTTTTGCTTTTTTTTAATTGACTGAGAAAGGAGCAGCTAAATTTTGGAGTTTGTAAATGAACAGCAAGAAATCAAATTTGTTTTTTCTTTATTGTTGTGAAGCAAGAAAGAAATAATCTATGTCGTCTTTTGGTGAAAAAAATAGTGACGATCCATAAGTCTACAAAAGCCAAGACTACAGTTTCATGCAAATACAGTACATGCTACACCAGGTCACTGATGACAAGACTAATGGTCTTTTTCCATTCATTGCTGCACCTTATCTGTACTGTACTATTAATTATTATGGCATAATTGTCAAAGCTAAAATTTTTTGGATGTACAAGTGGTGCAGCAACAAGGGTCAAGAACCTTCAAGTGATTGTGGACAGCATTGCCTAGCAAAACTTCAACACATGAGGAAAAGTTGAAAGAGATTCTGATGTTATGATGACAGTGAATTGATTTCTAATAATTCTAGCTGGGAAGCCAATCAATATCTTTGGAAGAGCTTCACATCTTGTAAGTGATAATGGTGATTCTCCACTGACTAAGAACGTAGTTATTGTAGTGGCAAAGCCGTTCACAAACTTCACAGTGAATACCATATGGGGATATGATGCCTCACAGAAAACTACAGCTACTACTGTTTAGGTTTTTATCCATCCCCAACCATATCTAAGTAAAGCTAAGAATGAAGATATGACTGACTAGCCGTAGCTTCTCTGTGACACACCATGGCTTATAGTCAGTGAGCTAATGGGCTTGAGGCAACGATTGCCAGACGTGAGAGAGTAGGTGGCCGCCCACACAAACCGTAACACGTACCGCACTAGAAGAGCCCGGAGGAGGGCCAAGGGAGCCCCTGGGGCTGCCCCCCCCTCTCGGCTGGGACAAGCCACCAGGGGGAGTCCCTGGATGAGAGCCTGGGCTAGATACCCCAGGGTCTGCCAACTGAGGCTGTGCACCCGAGATCTGCCCCTGGACGGGCTTGGGGCCAGTGGCGGAGGAGTCCCGATGGAACTCTGGCGGCGGAGGGCGCTGTATCCAGTTGTACTGCCTCTTCTCAACCGGCACTCCCCATCTCTCCAACTCTATGTACTGTTTTCGTGAGACAATTAGACCAGTTTTCATAAATATCAATAATTGGAAGGACCTGCAACATCAAAACCCATGCGTTATCAGGAAGATGCCTGCATTACCTGACCTCAGCCAACCCCGCAGCAAACTGGAACTTGTTGTGGAGACTGAAAATATTGCCAAGATATGTCACGTATGTCATTAATGTAAGAAATGAGTATGGGCTAAGGGGGTGGGGGTAGGGGTGGGGGTAAGGAGATGATTCACGTGGTCAGACAGTACGGGACAACACACCCAGGCAAGCAAGGTGCTCTTTAGGCTCACTTACTTGGTTTTTGAGAGAAGAGTAACAGTCCTTGCACACGACCACTGAATGCCCGTTGTCCACTACCATGCCTCCAGGCGGTCGGTTGTGTTCTTTCAGGAAGGGGTAGTCCTGGGGAAAGAAGGTGGCTGTTAGGCATACAGTTTAAAATTTGATACTTTTTTATTAATACTTTCTATCAATGTCGGGATATCTGGCATTTACTCTAAAATTAAGCATCAGAAATTAAATTAATATATAATTTTGAATATCTTTCAATTTGTAATATCTGACATCAAATTTCAAATAAACTAGTATCAGCTATCTATTTTTCATTTTCATATCTAATATCTATATCATGTTAATCTAACCTGATAAGCATGTTTACATAATCTGTCAATTATGAATATGATAATCGGATTACTAATATTCTAAACTAAAGTTCAATGGTTAGCTCTAAACAGTTTACAGTATAATAGTCGACCTGAATACAAACAAGCGACAACAGGAGTGTGACAAATCCCTTTTATCTAACCAGGATATTTATATAGAAAGACTTGAGTATATATTGCTCTTCCAAACATGCTTATAGTACATGAAATTTAATTCACACGTGTCGACATGTTACGAAAACAATGAAACGGATACTGGGAGTAATGATATTGGTCAAAATGCAACTTGTCAAAGCTCGTATCTGTTAAGTACTATTCAGGTATATCGACTTGACTTGCGGACATTGCCATGGGCCAAATAAATGGAAAGGAAAAAGATTTAGCATTCTAAGAAAATATCTAATCCTTACGAATACATAATGTAGTGTTTTTTTCCCATTATTCTACCATGTCATATAATAAAAATAATTTGAACTCTATAATCTAATGTCATTCAGAGCTTTCCAATCCCATTTAAAATTTGTGAAAACATATATATAATGGTTAATTATAATATAATAATAAATAATAATAATAATAAAGATTATATGCTAATCATAATAATAATAACAGTAAGTATAATTATAATAATGATAATGAAGTTAAAACTAACAAAGAATAATAATAATAATAATAATTATAATAATAATAATAATAATAATAAAATAATGATATTAAACAATCATAATAATAAAATAAATAATAATAATAATAATAATAATAATATAATAATAATAATAATAATAACAACATAAAATAATAATAAATAAATAATAATAATAACAATAATAAATAATAATAATAATAATATAATAATAATAATAATAATATAATAATAATAAATATAATAATAATAATAATATAATAATAAAAAAAATAATAATAATAAATAATGACAATAATAATGATAAATAATCAATAATAATAATAATAATAATAATGATAATGATGATAAAAATGAAAATAATGATAATGATAATGACAATAATAACTGACTAATAACAGTAACAATGATAATACTCTGGTAATATTCGAACTTTAGAAAAACTTAAAAATAGAAACAACAAACAAATGAACCAAGAAGGCTTTTGAAAGATATCACAAAACTTAAAAACAATAGATACAAAAAGAAATGGTTACAACGAAACAAAAAAATCTATACGTGAAAAAAAAATTAAAACAAACAAAAGAGAGCAAGAAATACAAGAAAAAGACAACCAGTCAAATCCAGAAACTGTTTACATCCAAAGAAACAGCTTAAAAAAAGGAAGAAAAAAATCCATACTTAAAAAAAGAAGAAAAGAGAAGAAGAAAAAAAAATACGATATCAACAAATACCAAAACTTCTACAACCAAAGAAACCACATCAAACGTTTTAAAAAAGAGCAAAAAAAAACAAGAAGAAAAGGAAAAGTTAGTAGCCCCGCGCCGTTGGAAGTGGAACCTGTGGGATCTAAAATAACCCGGCACTCGCTGTGCATGTGGCTGCTCCGCGCGCCCGCCCCTGCCACACGTCATGCTAATAGGGGGAGGGGGTGGAGGGTGATGGGGAAGGGGTGAAGGGTGATGGGGGAGGGAGGTGAAGGGGGTGAAGGGGTGAGAGGTTCAGAAGGGTGAAGGGTGATGGGGAAGGTCGGAGAGGGGGAGATGAGGAGGGGGGTGAAGGGTGACGGGAGAGGTGGGGAAGGGGTGAAGGAGTGAGGGGGTCGGAAGGCTGATGGGGAGGTGGAGGGGTAGGGGTTTTGGGAAAATTGAAAGGTAAAGGGATGAGGGAGGTGGGGAAGGAGTGATGGGGAGGTCGGATAAAGGTGAAGAGTGAAGGGGAAGGGGGTTAGGGGTGGGAAGTCGGAAGGGTGAAGAGTGATGAAGGAGGTGGGGAAGAGTGGAGAAGGGTGAGGGGTTAGTGGGTCGGAAGGGTGAAAGGTGATGGGGGAGGTCGGGACGGGGTGAAGGGTGATTGACAGGGGAGGGTTAGGAGGGGAAGTCGGAAGGATGAAGGGTGATAGGGGAGATGGAGAAGGGTGAAGGAGGAGGTGGGGAAGGGGTGAAGGGGCTTGGAGGGGGTGAAGTGTAGCGGTGGGGTAAGGGAGCGAAATGCGGGGAGAAGGTGAGAGAGGACGATTCTATGGGGTAGAAATAGGCATTCAGGTTAGCCATCTCTGCACGCATATAAACGAGGTGTGGTGTGTGTGTGTGTGTGTGTGTGTGTGTGTGTGTGTGTGTGTGTGGTGTGTGTGTGTGTGTTGTGTTGTGTGTGTGTCCAGACACACATAAACAAACATATAATACATATTCACACACACACACATACATATACATGTACTTGCACACACACACCACACACACACACACACACACACACACACACACACACACACACACACACACACCGTTCATTTACGTGCCCTGAATGCCTATTTCTATCCCATAGAATCGTCCTCTCTCACCTTCCTTACTCTTACCCCCCCCCTTAGCTCCTTATCCGCAGGACCACTCGCATCCCCCCCCAAGAGAGAGAAAATAAAGAAAGAGAAAGAGAGAGAGAGAGAGAGAGAGAGAGAGAGAGAGAGAGAGAGAGAGAGAGAGAGAGAGAGAGAGAGAGAGAGAGAGAGAGAGAGAGAAGAGAGAGAAGAGAGAGAGAGAGAGAGAGAGCAAACGAGTGCGAAGAACGATGAAAAAAAAAGAAGAGAGAGGAAGCGGAGAACGAAAAGAAGACAAAACAAAAGAAACGAGAAAGGAAAGAGAGTCGAAAAATAAAAACAATAAAACTGACACGAAAGGAAACAGACAACAAACCACTATTGGCGTGGCGGGAAGAAACACCCATCTGACTGGGAGGGGGTGAAATCAGGCAGACAGACAGACACAGACAGCCCAGTGTTTAACCCCAACACTACACCGCTGTCTTTTGTTTACATTCCGGCGCCTTTAAAAGCACGTGTGATCTGCTTGCTCAAAGAAGCTACATTCCGGTGAATCTCTTTCTTTTGTTTGTAATTTACGATATGCACGGATGGAGGCGGGGGACGGGGAGGGATGGGGCGGATAAAGTGTGCATGAGCTTACTTGGGGGACTTTGTCATAGATTGTATTCCATGTATCTGTTATTACGACTGTGACACACACACACATTACATACACACAACACACACACACACACACACACACTACACACACACACACACACACACACACACACACACACACACACACACACACACACACACATATATATATATAAACTGCATGCACGTACGGCACCGTCAGAAATCGATGCCACGCCTGCAGGAATTAATCAGATAAGAGCTAAAAACACACACTGTCCTTGATAATCGCAGCATGACCTTTAAACTATCCATTTTAGAATCAAGCCATATAAAGAGAATTCCGTAAAAATAAAGTAAATGAAGAAAAATAAACCAGAGAAAATATAAAAAGGAAAACCACGGGAAAATCAGAACCGAAATGTTTAATTCTTTTCGCTCGATTGGCTGCGTTCAAGTCAGAGTTGTTCGTCCGAAACAGAAGAGAAAAAAACACTAACGACTCGGAAAGCGCAAGATAAAAACGACAAAGAAAAAGACATGAAAAAACACCCGATAAAAGAAAAAAGAAGAAGACGTGAATGGACACACACACAAAATATGACGATGAAAAATAATACGAACCATAATAGGAAAATACAACAAAGAAGAAGAAAAAAAGAAGAGACAAGATTAATACGAGGAAGAAAACAAACAGACAAAAAAAAAAAAAAAAGACGACGAACGCAAAAGAAAATATGACGATGAAACATAAACCGAAGCATAACAGGAAAACAAAAACGAAGCAGAAGAAAGAAAAAAACGAAGGAAAAAAACACGGAAGAAAATGGAATTTAAAGAAAAGACAGATCTCACGTTTGTCAAATCTTCTGCAACAGTTAGCAGACGCGAATAACTGAATGCAGAAGAGACTGCAAGTCATCAAAGTACACTGTGGAGTAATCCGTTAGTTCCACGAAGTCTGGGAGATTTGGAAAGCCATTTTGATTTTAAACAATAGCAAAAAAAAAAAAATGTAGATGTGAGCTTGGTACAACTTTTGCTTACTTATCTATTTGTCTGTCTATCTGTCTGTTTCTTTTCCTATTCGTTTCCTCGGGCTTGGTACAACCATTTATGTCTGCCTGTCTATTTGTCTGTCTCTCTGTCTCTTTCTTCTCCTATTCGTTTCCTCTAAACACCTGGCGCTTAAGAGAGCAACAGTTGGGTGAAGGAGAGGAAGTGAATTATATTTAATCAATGATAATATATCGTATTATCTTGGTCTGTTGGTACAGGTCTCTCGAAGCCAAACGACTATTTTTTTCTCGTTCATAAAATGTGTGATTTCATTACTCACTCTCTCTCTTTCTCTTCTCTTCTTTCTTTCTTCTTTCTCTTTCTCTCTTCTCTTCTCTCTCTCTCTCTCTCTCCTCTCTTCTCTCTCTCTCTCGCTGTGGTGTGGTGTGTGTGTGTGTGTGTGTGTGTGTGTGTGTGTGTGTGTGTGTGTGTGTGTGTGTGTGTTGTGTGTGTGTGTGTGTGTGTGTGTGTGTGTGTGTGTGTGTGTGTGTGTGCATGCTTCTGGCGAAAATATACAGTAGTCAAAACATCTCTTGCGCTGTGACGATAATCATTCATTTCATACATTTTCTTATATTAGTCTAAACTTTCTGTCTGT